CAACTTACTACTTAATTAACAACCTTATGCTATCATGTGAAAATAACGCAGCTTGTTGAGCAGAAAGCGTGCGAGTGAACGGAAGCTTAATTTTCTATTAATGTAACTTCAGTGGCGATGGGCACATTTTCCTTTTACAATGCCTCAGGTGATCTAACGGGGCGAAAATGTTCTTCACCCAAGAAGTGCTCTTGTGAGGCGCACCTTTTAAATATGCGGTTGGGAAGTCTTACTTGCTGCTTGATTATAATGAAGGGAGTTTTCACTGGTGAAAGGGTCATGGCCACGCATAGATAGACAGATAGATAGATAGATAGATAGATAGATAGATAGATAGATAGATAGATAGTGATAGAAAGAAAGATAGATATATAGATAGATAGATAGATAGATAGATAGATAGATAGATAGATAGATAGATTGATAGAGAGATAGATAGATAGATAGATAGATAGATAGATAGATAGATAGATAGATAGATACAGATACACAGATAGATAGATAGATAGATAGATAGATAGATAGATAGATAGATAGATAGATAGATTAAAGATAGATAGATAGATAGATAGATAGATAGATAGATAGATAGATAGATAGATAGATACAGAGATAGATAGATAGATAGATAGATAGATAGATAGATAGATAGATAGATAGATAGATAGATAGATAGATAGATAGATAGATAGATAGATAGATAGATAGATAGATAGATAGATAGATCTACCAGGCAGAAGCAGATAAGATGGAGAAATGTAAATTAACATCATATGATAGAAAATCACGAGAAGTTGAACATGATGAAGCGAATAAAAATGAACATTTGTGCCATTATTCTGCAACACAGTTTAGATATAGTTCCTTTGCTACCAGTTGTCCGTTTTGGGGAGAAGGATTCATGAGCGAATCACAGAAAGTTTACCAGTCAATTGCAAACATTGGTTGGTTTGAGCACACATTGACAGTGCGTGTGAACTCAAACGACTTGCTGTAAGCAGGTTACCTCCGTTGGAGGTTCTGCATTTAATACACGTTCTCGAACTCAATACTAGTTCCGGGGTGAAAGCTATTATCGATGATTATAAATGGGTATCTGATACACATAAAGAGAACAATGGGAACCCAAAAATAAAATCACACTAAAAGAGAAGTGCAAAAAGTCCACAAAGTATATAGATCGTCAAATTCATTGGTTGAAGCGGTCGCACAGCTGACACTCGGATCGTCCTGAGAGAGTAAGATCCAGCCGCACTGAACTACAGTCTTTGTATATTATACTGCTAATTTATGAGTTAAGTTTTGATGGATCAAAGAGCTCAATTGTTCAGCCCTCAAGCATATCGTCTGATTTGGTTTGGGGAACCTGAGTAATGAGCCTACAAATGAACAATACCAGGCTTTCCCAGTAGTTAAATTATTTTTAATGATTTGTTGAACACAGACTGGATCAGTTTCGAGGCCATAAATCACAAAAGGCACTTGCGGATGAAAAAATCTGAGCGTCAGTAGTTTGTGACACCTTCGTTTGAATTTCCTCAAAAGAAAGCTTTCATCCGTATAACCAATAGCAAAACACATTTATGCTCTTAGTTATCGGTGTCTGGGTTTGTTACACTTTTCAAAGTTACATATCAGATTAACCTCCAAAAGTTCAAACTAACGTCGTAATTTTGCCCTGGCTGTATTGCTCACACCGTCTGTGAGTTGATAGATACGTTTTGACGGTAATAAGTAGAAAGTTTTCAGCCTTTTTCAAAACTCTATTCAATTACATCACATGAGTTAATTTACATAACGAGTGATCAGCTTGGGAGACGAACTCATTTGAGGGTCTGATTTCATGCAGGAAGTTCGGACGCTACGATGGAAATATGCCTCAAGTCGAATGAAATTCCTCCTGTGAATTCGTTCAGATTAAACCCTGAGTCTCATGGTTAACCGACCAATTGGAAACTGGAGTCCCGTCTATTTATTAACCATTCAGTTTAGAAATGCAATTAACTGATTTTATTTGAACTTGTGAAGAAAACAAATTTACTCGCACAAAAAACATTCGTGAGTTTCTCAATCTGGAACCAAAAAAATGAAACTTGTTACAGAACTTAGATGCATATTGAAGAGTGTCTAAACTGAATTTTGTAGTAACTACTGCATCAACAATAATTTATAACGACTGGATCAATCCTATTGATAAAAATATTTCCTATACAACTCATATTTCAGTGAAAAAGACTAAATAATTCTACCATCAGATTAAATACATTGCACGAAATTCTGTTTTGGTTCACATAGATTATAAAGATTGGTGTTATATATATAACATAAATAGCCCGTGATCCAAGGTTAGTGCGTTATTCAGCTATTTAGACGCCCCTTTTTGCAGGTAATCAAGCTCGGAACGAAGTCACGTCAATCCAGTGTGCATTTCGATGGTGATCTGCAAGAACCTTTTCCGCTTAGTTAACACAAGAATTTATGTGGTGGTATGAAAGATTTGCAAATAACCCAGTAACGAAGACAGTGAGATTCATGCACTTTTGATTCTGTTCTGCCTGTTTGCAATGTTTACCCGATTCACTTTCACTTCTTTCGTCACTGGTCGACCAAGTCAAAAGACAAAAGAAAGAAACCAAAAGCAGTGCGTGAAAGGGGGAGAAGAGAATGATCGTACAAACAGAATCAAAAACATACTATGTCAACCGGAAGACAACATTTTCTGCATCCCATAAAGAGTATTGAATACCATAGGCAGAGGTTAAGGTATTGCATACCACCAAGCTCCGAAGTTTGCGCGTTCGGACAATTCGCCTTTGACAAAGAACTTCACCCAACGAGTCGAGAGCAGGCTCATCCTGAATAGATGAAAGCAGGTACTTTAACTATGCCATATTGGACGTAACTATAAAAGTCAATTTTGAATGAGGAAGGACTGGCTTAATCACATGTTTTCATTGATATTGAATCTTTAAAAGGAACGTCGTTCGAATCCATTAGACTTAATTCAAGTTCATTGAGATCCACGAGCTTATTACAACAAAATGGCCCGGTAAATATCTTTGTGGGTCGGTGATAAAGATGCTCTCTAGACACAATCAAATCAGTCGTACCTAAACCGATTGCAAACCTGAATGCTGGCCTAAGGGGTGTTCTGCAGTTCTAACATAGTATATAATGGTCGGAAAGGAACTCCGGACTACACTTGAGCTCTTGGCTAGCTTCAACAAAAGCGGTTCTCACAAACCGTTCGAATTCTGAACCTTCGGGCTGGGGTTGAAAACTATTGGACAGAGAAATAAACAGTAGAGGGTGAATATCTCCAGCGAATGGATAAAACAATTTAGGATGCGATGGACGTGTCAATCCATTCAAATTTCAACGTGAATAATTATTGCATACAGTCTTCTGGTGTTTTCAGAGTGTAATGATGTAAACTTGGAGTTCACTGTATCCCGTATTTCGTGATCAGATGCATCCGTGATCGGAAACCATTTACATAAGTTCTTAATTTCACCAGATCGACATCTATATTACAGCAGTAAATTCAGAATTCCCCTTAGAAAATCAGGCTGTCTAGGGAAGGACTATTGACAATACGCCTCACATAGACTGAGATTTCAGTTAAATGATTAAGCACTAAAATGTACAAGTTCCAATATAGAATGGAGATATAATTAGCCGTGGGCAAGGTAAGCGACCAAATTGCAACACACAGAGGTTTTCGGAGTTCTATTTATCCAAAAGTATGTTGTTTGTCCGATCTCTTCGAGCTTCGCTAAAACCCTCCGAAGTTGCAGTTAGTTAACAGAACAACGCACGAATTTTCAACATCACAACCAAATGCAAATTGTTTATGAGATCGGTCAGTAACCTCTGTAGTATCCTATTCTCGTTTTCTCCAACTCATACTAGCTAATGGTCGGGTATTCGAAAAGCCCTCGGGAGCTCACAAATTTACCAACCTGATTTCATTTTACCGGCGTAAAAGCGTTTGCCGAATGGTGCGTGCTAACTTAAGGACAACGTAATAAAGTGTTGATGGTGGTACATAAAATGGAGCCAACTGTGTTGTTGC